TTTCCTGACCTTTTGTTGAAATATAAATAAGACCAGGGGGTAAGAGAACCCAGATAAATTTTCTTTCCAGCATACACACAGGATTAATGTCTAGAAGGCTTGGGAAAAGGGCAAGTGATTCATTTTCACCCTTCTTTGGTTTTATCTCAGTAGACTATGCTTAGTAGATTACGGTGGGAGCAAATAAAATAAAGAGCAATGATTTAGCTAACAATACTCCCAGAGTGTCCCACTCCTAACCAGGGCTCCTGGGATCAGAGTACCCCTAGCACAAGGTCTCCTGGAGAGAAACGCACCCAGTCCCTGTGGACCAGAGTCAACTGAAGCAGAACTATAATGTAGGGCAGGCTGAACTTCAGATCCCAGACTCCCCTATTCGCATCTTTTCTCCTACCATGAATACTTGTGGAACTTTTCATTAACCATTTATTACAAGTATTTTCTTATATAATTCTATATCAATGTAAGTTAAATTTTAAATATTCCAAATAATTTTAATTGAATAACATATTAAATTGATATACTACATTCTATTATAAGAGCTGGGGGAAGGTAGGCACCCCCCCTACCAAAAAAATAAACTGTTCTCAAAACACTGTCTGGAATATGTGATCCAGCAGTTCCTTTCTGGAATTTATCCTAAAGTGATCATCATGTGCACGTGCAAAGATTTACCTGTGAGGATGTTCATGGTAAAATTACTTTGAAGAAATCAGAAAGGAACCAAGATGTTCTTGGGAACTCATTGAGTAAATTGTGATACATCCAAACGATGGAAGATTATGCAGATATTAAAATCTTGTTATAGAAAAACAATGATATAAGAAAATGTTCTCTACACATTAAGTTTCTTTTAAAAAGCAGGTTACGAAACTATATGTAAAGTATGTTAGAGATTTTTGTTTTAAAATAAAATGATGACCAAGAATATTTAAAAAGAAATTACTCTAATGATGAAATGATGGGTAATTTTTTATTTTCTTATTTGCATTTTCTAAGTGTTCAAATTTTCTCTAATGAGTATATATTACTCCAGATGTGAGTCTAGACCAACAGCATCAGCATCCCCTGAGCGCTGGTTAGAAATGCAGAATCCCCGGCCCCACCCCAGACCTGCTGACTCAGAATCTGCATTTTAACAAGATCCCCAGGTGATCTGTATGCACATTACAGTTTGAAAAGCAAAGCTGTGTATAATTCAACATAAGAAATAACCGTCCTGAGAAAGACATCCTCAGACTGTGACAATTGGGTGCTCTTTGCTATTTGGAAGGTGATTTTGATGTAAAGCATAAGCAAGTCTTACCTTCCACAATCCTCTAGAAATGCCTTAACATTCCCCATTTTTCATTTCAACAATGGGGCATGGAGCAGTGACAAGTCCCTCCGTCTCCACTCCCTCCCCCAGCCGCAGGGCCACAAAGCCGGAGCTCTGAGATTCTTCGTGAGGTAGGGAAGTATGGATTCCTCAAGAGCTGCTATTCAGGCCATAGGCAGCATGTGCCAGAGCTCCACCCACGGTTCTGCTTCAGCCTCCATTAAGCTGCACATCTGGCTGTCACACACTCTTTTGTGGGGACATCTCAATGGCAGCACTGATGCCGCCTCTCCCCGGGCCAGCCCGACAGTGGCCTCCCTGTCCTCCTCGTATGTGATGTCATGAGCGTGAACGTCCTGCCAAACATTTAAGACGCTGCCGCTCACATTGTGTACATTGTATAGAGAAACACTGACATGCAGATTGGAAATTTTAAAAAAACACACACATATGGCAAGATACAACCAAACCTTGTTCTATTGTTATCCCAAACCACCAATTCAGCACAAATGTGTAGCTTGTATTCTTTAAAGACACGGTCCTCTCTTTTTTGTTGCTGTCGGTATAACTAGCATCCCTAGATTCAGAGATTTCCTTGAAACATTCTTTCTGTAATTTGGTTTCTATCAAATTCTTGGAAAGCATGAGCTGAACTGGTTCATTTCAAACCAAAGATCCCCTGCACGTGGTCTCTTCAGACTAGGCCAAAGAGAGGGGGGAAGCTGGGTGTACCTCTCAAAGTCACCTCGTCTCCGAGGACCATCAAAGAGGACGAGGGAGGGGATTAGTTGCTCTACAGAAAGGCAGGAGCAAGAGGCCCTTCCCGTCACTGTTTCTCAAAGTGTGGCGTGGGGACCACCTCATCAGAGTCTCTGGGGGGGGGGGGGTGGGGGCAGTGCACAATAAAAATGCGTATTCTTGGATACCAACCCAGAGTCGGTGTCTGTGGGTGAAGAGAGAGAATCTGCATTTTACCTGACTCCCTAGTAATGATTCTTAAATTAGAGAATGAGGGCTTTAGAGTTTGACAGACTTAAATCCAATTTTAGTTCCACACAGTAGCTATCTGACCTTGACAAATAACCTCAACTCTCTACACCTCATTGTCCTCATCTGTATGATAGGGACTGTGGGAAGCATTAAATGTGTGAAGTTCCTGGCACAAACAGGTTTCAAGAGCATGAATTCCTTTTTCCCTGTCATTCAAGTAGAACCCTGGAGGTCTGCCATTTCACCTGGGATTGGGGTCGTTGTCTTCCCCTGGATGATAATTATTGTCACTGTAATGGCCAGATTCTAACAGAGCTCTAATGAGAGACAATAAAATCATCAAGACTGAACCCCTCTGGATAGTTTCTGAGGCTGACCTGTTATTCTATAGCTGTCTGCCCAATCCAATAGCCACCAGCCCTCTGTGGCCCTTGAGCACTTAAAGTGTAGCTAGTACGAACTGAGATGTGCTGGAAGTGTAAATTACACACCGTAATCCAAAGACTTAATACAAAAAGAAGGACGTAAAATATCCCATTAATAATTGGTTACATGTTGAAATGATAATATTTTGGATGTAGTGGATTAAATAGAAATATTAAAATTAATTTCATTTATTTTTAGCTTTTTTAAGATGGCTCCTAGAAAATTTTAAATTACATATGTGGCTCCTATTATATTTCTACTGGACAGCGCTGTTCTAGAGGAACAGCTACCCCACCCTCCCTCCCTCACACTGATGAGAAAACCCAACACTGAAATTATGACCAACAAAATGGAATTCCCCATTAGGAAGGCAGCAGTCAGCTAGGAGAGGTTTGGGGTGTCTCTTCTGCTGCTGCAGGGCAAAGTGGTGCTCATGTAGCACACCCCCTCACATGAGAAAGCAGCCTAGGGGAAGGAGGTGGGCGAGTGGGCACTTACATCCATAAGAGGAGAGGAGAATGACTTGACACTTCTGATTCCAGCTGGTGGTTGTGAAAAGAGGGGACCTGGGGACTCAAAGCCTTACTTGTCCACCCCCGACTGCCTTTTGCTCCGTTCATGTGCACAATGGTTACACCGTGACAAGTGTTTATGAGGAAGGGAGGGTCCTCCAATGTCATCACATGACTTGTGTCCTTACAAAACTGTGTCATCACTAAGCAAATATTTTGATCAACATGAAGATTGTCTTTTCTGCCTAAGTAATTTAGAAATAGTTTCCACCAGGTTATAATCTTCTAATATACACAAATATCTACAAAAATGACCAGCCCAAATGGATATTTCCAAAGAGGAAATGTTTGCCAATTATTATACTATCAGCTAGTGACATTGGTATTTTTGGAAAAATACAAACAAAATAGATTGTAATCTGTTTTCTAGAGTAGGCTCATAACTTGACAGAGTTTCTGGAATAGAAAACAAACAAAAATCAACTCAATGTGTCTATCTTTGTCCAAAATTTCCCAACATCTATATGCACATGTTTGAAAGAAATGTATTCAGATATTATTACCTAAAGACCCAATACAATGGGTTTGTTTTATACTTCCCTTTATACCTAGCCAATTCCTTTACTAAGTGTTCAAAGTAGATAAAGGAGTTTTTATATATATAGTCACATATAAATGGGCAGCAATCAGAAACCAAATGTCAAGCACTGCTGCCCATTTATATATGACTTAAAGATGCCATACTGTCACTCCGCCTAAGAAACCTAGAGAGCATCTAGGTCACACTTTTATGACTACACGTTACCATCAGGATACACTGTAGTGAATAAAATATAACTTGTTAATTATTCAGGGCAGTGCAGAATGACTTGTTCTTGAATCACTGATCAGGTTCCCTACAAATTACTAGCAGAGATTAATGAAATTTTTTAAAATCAATACCTCTGGATATAACAGAATATTAAAGGCCAGTTTTGCAGACAGTATGTTATTTTATTGCACAGATTTCACTTAAAGAACAAAACGCACCATCAAAGTTTGGAGAGTTTGGGGTCTCAGATACTGATACACCATCAGTGTTTACACCCGTAGAGCCAAATTCAACAGTACAGTTTATGTTAAACGATGTCACTTCAGGGTGGCTAACAAAATGAAAATAGAGAGAAAGGAAAAAAAGCTTTAAAAATGTGTTAAGTTGAAGCATATGCAAGCGTAGGATTAAAAACTACATCACACAAACTTGGAAATCAAAAATGTTTTGCGGAATGTCAGAGTTATACTCACTCATACTGTTATTTATCGCATAATTAAAGTCTATTTGGTTCATTTCCTTCATACTGATGAATTGAGGATTTCAGGAAAACCATGGTTATAAAAATGACCAATCTTGAAAAAATATGTACAGATCAATTTAAAATCAGAAACTAAAATATATCCCCACCCCTTGCCCTCAACTTACAAAAGAGAAACTTTCCCATGGAGAGAAAGTTCCACTATTCCTTTCCCTCCCCACCCTATGTCCCCAATTCTATCTTTTTCTATCGCTTATAACTAAATGACCTTGGAGCTGAGGAGCAGCGAGGGAACAGAGAGGCATCTTATGAGGCTCCCATTGTCATCTGTACAGTTTGAAAAGTGTCTTTTATTTCTCTCCTCCACACCCAAGTCAGCAATGTTTGCAAGATATTTAAAATTTAAAGAGAGAAAACCAAGCAAACAAACAAATATATATATATATAAGATATATATATACTTCAGTGAAAAAAAAAGGAATGCCCAAGAAAAGAGCTAATGGGGGGGCAGAACCATGAGAAAAATATGTGGGCATTATCTGAGCTGAAGATTTCTTTTAAGGCAACAAAAAGGGTGGTGTTAAGACTATAAAATGCCAGACAGGATGCTTTTCTAGACCTTTGGCTTTGGAGACTGGCACAGGAGTGGGCTTCCCCGTCCCTGGGGTGAGCAAACCCGGGGCCATGGGCCCAGCATCGACAGCACCTCCTCGGGCAGCCTCTCTCATACATGGGCACTCTTGGCATGAGTGGGGGAGCTGGAGCCCGAAGAATAGTAGAAACGGTTTTCACCGAACGCCTGGGCATCTCCAGCGCAGCAGACGATGACACAGCCACCCACGAGGCACAGCACGGAACCGATCCAGCCCGCGTACAGGGAGTAGCCAAAGCTCACGATGGTGGTCTCACGGTGGGCACACACAGGGAACCAGATGGTGGCGACCATGGCGCAGAGAGCTGGGGAGACATGGAGAAGGCTGTGACTGGGCACACCCATCACACACCAAGAGCAGCGGGCAGGCTCCCCCTCACTCCACAGACACACACCTTTGGCTTCCAACCAACGCCAAAAAACTGATACACACAGCTCTGCTCCCTTGGCAATCTGAACCTGAAGGTTTGCATCTGTAGAATAAGCTGATCAAAAGCTTGTGTCAAACTGCTGGGTCCTTATTTTTTCGACAGGTGGCAGAGACAAAAGAACTCTGATGTAAAAACCTAGAGATAAATCATTTAAGCCCAAAAATATTTATTTTTATTTACTTATATATCTTGACCTTATATATCTATTGTTATAATTCTATTATTACACTTACCTATTGTATTATAACTATCTCTTTACATGTCTATTTCCCATTCCAAGTTCTGAGTTCCTGGAAGGCAAGTGCCATCTCTACCTGATGTTTGCAAAGTCAGCATTTAGTTCACTACCATTGAGTATATACTATGTGCTCAATGTATAGTAGTTGCATGACTGAATGACCTGAGCTATTCAGAAATGAGAAACAAGATGGTGCCCACTTCAATTTTCCACTCTGTTTTTTTAATGTGGTCAATTCACATTACAAAGACCTGAAGAAGCTATGAAAATTCTCTTGCCGTGGTGACTATTGCTAGGCATAAGTGGAGGATCAGCTAAGAGTCTGAGTTTGTGGTATGCTGTTCACACTCACAAACTCTCAACACACAAATGAACAGTTCTTGGAGTAAAAGAATTTACCCATTCAAGGATTTTACAGTGATGATATTTGTTGTAACGGGTCACAAGGGTAGAACTTTATGGTCTTGTACTGACCAGTCTAACTTTCAGATTTGGATTAGATTTTAAAGAATAATGTAAGAAATGCCTCTAAATCATTTAGTTCTTCCCTTCCGCCTAAGCGAAGTAACCAAACAAGGGCAGGCGGAAGCCTATAAAGAATTAAAACAATTTTTAAACCTCGAGACCAGCCCTGTCAAATAGGGTAGCCACAGCTACATGGACTTATTGAAGGTTTCACATGAGGCTATTGAGACTGAAAAATGAATTCTGAATTTTAATTAATTTACATTTAAATGGCTACATGCAGCTAGCAGCTACTGTACTCATCAACACAGCTCTAGACAAAGTAACTCTGTAACCTCCTTGGGTATCATCTGATTTCTCACAACTACAAGTAGGACAGAAGTTTTGGATAAAGCTTTCAGTTGGCATGGCACTTTAAAGGGGACAGACATTAAAAAAAAATAACGAGGTTTCCAATCATTAGTCATAACGCCCTCAATAAATTCAAGACAGAGCATTGCAATGCCAGTCCGCTGTTTGCGACCTGAGGTGCAAGCATTTTCTGATTTCTGCTCATACTGAATTATTTTCTAACTTACCTCTATGCCCACAGAGAAGAAATATAATTTTTCTTTAACAGCCTCGAACATTAGTTTTAAACTAAAGAAAAGATTTAAGACTTACCCATTTTGAAAGACCTTTTAAACTATCTCATTGCATTTGTGTAATTTGTAACACAGGTTTTTGTTGACAACAGACTAAGCCCACCCCCACAAGCTGGGTATAAATATACATAAATAGAAGTGATTTCTATCCTTAAAAAGTATAGATCTCAAGGAGAAGTCAGAGGGAAGAAAGTGAATTTGGGGACTCTGAATTGCCCAAATTGGCTTTCTAATAGCCTAAATTCATTCCATTAATTGTGAACTATTCACATAATTAAGGAGTTTATATAGATTATCTAAGAAGCTAAAATCTATCCATATGCTAAGGGCTTCATTTTTCTTGAAGAGTCAGCACAATCATGCCAGCTTCTGTAGTATTTTTATATGAGATACCATGAGGAGATGTATTTTCCTTCTGTGAAAGGATGTTCAAGAAGATCAGTGTTAATCAAACCTTCCCTTTCCAGCCCAGGGAAACCTCAGATACAGGGAAAAGTCTTTTTCTTTCTCTTCCTCTGGCCATGGAAGCCAAACCAGGCTCTCTTGGAGAACCACTTGGCTATTGCCATAGTCATACTCTCTGCGAGGCACAGAGAAAAGCTTTTTCTCTATCAGGACAAGGGACAGAAACCTCTTCTAGAGTGTTTCAGCCAGAGAGAACTGCTATAAATTCTCCATATCAATACACAATCCAGCTACACACCCCAAGACCCCAAAAGTGGGCATTTGTTCTGCTATGGACAAAAACAGCAACCCAGCAACGACTTCCAAACACCCAGCCTTGTTTAGAGGAAAAGAGTGGGAGTGAAAAGCTGAATTCCCTAGGAAAAAAAGATTTGATTCCCAAATAACTGATTTGGTTCAATCTAACCGATCTTTCGTATAAACAATTAATGGTCTCAGAACAGCTTATGGTTCAAATTAAGTTTTATATTTTCAATTCCTTTGTATTTATATATACAACACAAACATACACACACACAAAAGCATTCCTCACATTTCATGTATATCTAACTTTCAGATTTGGTTTCGATGCTATAGAATAAGATAAAAAGTTGCCTCTAATTTCATTTAATTCTTCCCCTCTTCCTAAGCAAAGCAATAAAAGAAGGTTATCTTCACATAAGGAAAGAATCAGGCTTAATATTCCAAAAGTAACCATCAGTCTTGATTTTGAGTGTTCTACGGATTTTGTTAGATTTTATTCCAATATAATTCACCAGAAAAAGGAAAAATCAGAAAAATGTCTAAATATTGAAATAATGAACCTACAGGACTGGATGAGTGAATATGTGGATGGATGGACAGATAGAAGAATGGATGAGAGATGGTCTCATTTCAATTCTACTTTCCACTTCATACACACCAAAACTGACTTCCAAAATCGTAAAGCCTTAATGTGACTTCAACACACTTAATGTAACACACTCATGATTTACCTCATTAAAGATTTCCTTCTTTTATAACCCATTCCAAACAAGGCAAATGAGCACCAGCAGGCTCTTTATTTCCTAGTAGATAAATGAACTCTGGGTGGAATTCCTGCAGCTCTCAAAAATGAACCACATCAAAACCACCAAAAGATGACAGACCGCCACACAACATGAAGGGAAATGAGGGGTTCGCTGGAAACAGTGACCTTCAGTTGAACTCACAGTGAAGAATGTTTAGAAACTAAAAAAGGAGAATTTACTCAATTTCAGCAATGGTTTGAGGGGGAAAAGGGATATGTTTTGACCAACAAAGTTAAAAGTGCAAGTCAAGTCATTATTTAACTTACAAATGTGAAGTATTAATAGAATTAGCAATAATTTGGGGCTTTTTTAAAGACAGAAAAGGCCTGCTGGATTTATTTCTATTTGCAGACACACACACACACATTCAAAAAGAGTTTGTAACGGTTCTCTCCATTATCTGGGGAAAATACAGAAAATGCTTTTCTAAGGAAGTCACAGTTACCTATAAGGTAAAGAAAATTGAAGAAAAATAACGGGAATTTTCATTGCTTTTCTTTTTATGTCATCAGAATTTATTCTTAAATTAAGGCTCTGATAACAAGACAGGAGAATTTTAACACTCACATTTTTCAATCAGTTTCTCCTCTTCCACCCTCAGAACTTGAACAGTGAATTGCACAGGCGGGGAGCTGGAAGAGGGAATCTGCCATTTGTAGGGGAGTAGAAAGTGAAAACTGGGGACATTCTTAGCAAAAACAAAACAAAACAAAAGAAGAAGGAGAGAAGAGAGGAAAGCTTCACCGTGTAGATAGAAGTCCATCTGGACTCATAAAGAGACACACAAGAGAATTCCTTGCTTCACAGAATAAAATTATTTGCCTCTTTTGATAACTTTTAAATAATGTAATACAACGTGTTCTTTAGTTGATAGAATGCACTCTAATTAAAATTGAGAATGATCTTGATGTAGCCAAACAAAGAAAATATTTGGAAAGACAATTTTAGAGCAATGAAACGTATGCGTAGCTTTTAATTTCTTTAGGGATTAGATGACATATGATAATACATGGAGTGATTAATGCTATGAAATTAAATAAAATTGGTACAAGTGTGTTTGTCTGTGGAGGTAACAACTTAGAAACCGAGAGAAACTTAGAGACAGACAGACAGACCGACAGAAAAAGAGGCCCAGAAAGGCGCAAGAGCACCAGACCCTGACATTCCTTCCTTCCTCTAACGAACTCCTCTGTTTTCAGGCCTTGTCACTTTCAGGTACTAAGCATGGAAAGGACTTTTAAAAGCATCATTTCTAGCACAAAGCAATATTTTCACTAAAATCACTTAAATTACTCTGATGTATATTAGTCATACTGGAAAAAATCTTCCTTGATATTATAACCGAGATTTGCTTTAAAAAAATCTGGGGATTGGAAGAAAAGGAGAAGTACATAGATGAAGCAGATTGGCCATGAGTTGACCATTATGGAAAATGAGTTTGGGTTCATGGGGGTTCATTATACAGTTCTTTCTGCTTTTGTGTATTTTCCAAATTTTCCACAATAAAAACTTTTTTTAAAATCCCCCTCCATTTAACATTTTACAATGCATTGACGCTGTCTTCTACAATCGAAGCTATTCTAACACATGATCTAAATGGCAATTAGCTTTAGCTTTTCACAAAGAAGCCAGTCAACTCAAGGAAACAAGTAACAAGATTTCTAATGAGCTGCTGGTTGGAGTCATATTTATTTTTTGTTCCTTAAAATGTGAAACTAGAAAAGTTTTTGTTTTTCTTTTCTCATTTGTCATTCTCTAAATTTTGACTTAAGAAGATATTGCTGCCAAAGGACATACTCCTCTTACCCGATGACTTTCATGAAAATCTAATACTTACAACAATCATCAGGTCAATGGAATATCTGAGTACATTATTTTCCTGGCCTGCTTTCAACATTTTTTCCCTTATTTCTATTCCACGCATCATCTTTTTTTTTTTTCCTATAACCTTTTTTAAAAGCTAGTCTCATGATCATTTGTTAATTTTTTTTTTTTAAGTCACAGAATTTAGAAACAGGAGAGACTTCAGAAAGCAGTTAATTCCTCCAATTTTAGTGATAAGGTCATTTTAAGCCACAAACATACTAAGATGCCACATCCTTTCCACTATCCATATGAAATCTGACTTAGATTAAGGACTTGTTTGCAGAAAGCTAATGAGTTGGAAGAAGACTTTTCCTAACTACTCCCTTAAGACCCCGGGATTAAGGGCATCCCTGTTGATTCCACACCCAAGGATTCCCTGTAGGACATCTGACTCTGTGTACATGACAAGCTCAATGTGTTCCACATCTGAACGCACCCTGCATTTTACTGCACTTTCATTATTAACTTGTAAGTTCCAAGTTAAAACAGCTTTTTTCCAATACCAATAGGATTCCTGGGGCCATATTTTTAAAAACCAAGAGAGAAGATGAAAGGATTCCACTTAGGAAGGAAAATACATTTCCTTTCCTTCCATTCCCTACCCCATCTCCCCAAAAAACACCCAAATCAAGTACTTTCTAACTTCTAGCGAGGTGAGAATTAGACTGAATCGGAACTAAGCTTGAGCATTTTTGGTTGGGTGGCTTAATGTGGCTTTTTATAATGGAATAAGCAAAAAACTCCAACTATTGATCTCCACACTCTGGTTTCTACAAAGTAAACAAAAGAAATATTTCCATTAGACCAGGATGCGACCTAGTGTTTCTAGGAACAGTTCATTGTCTCTCCTTACCAACTCCGTGTGTGGAGACTACCCTGCAGAAATTAGACGAGATCAGAAGAATATCCAGTTGCCCTCTGGGCTAGCTCTCTATCTCCTCTAACCAATGACAGCAATAATAATAGCAACCATTTGTTGAGCACTTACTTGTTGAGCCAGACATCACACTAAATAACCTGCATACATCATTCCACTTCTTACCAACCTCAGAAGTAGGCATTATTGTTCCCATTTTATATAAAGGCTCAGAGACATTAATGGCCCCAGTTCACACAGCTAGAAAGTGGTAGATCTGAGATTCAGTACAGTTGGTCTAACTCCAAATGATAAGATAAAGCAACTCAGGGCACAAGTACCTCCTGCCTTGGCAGGGGCTCTTAAAAAGCCACAAACAGATTAGATTCGCCTCAGATCCACCCCAGATCTGAGGCGCCTGCTGCTCCTTGAGCTGCTCATCTGGCTTAAGAAGACAGCAGCATCGGGCTCCCATTCCTTCCCCCACAGCAGGAACCAAATCCTCACACCATTAAACTTAGACTGCTGAGAAGATAAAGCTGTTATACAACAAACATAATTTTTTTAAGCTTTCAGAAAAATAATTAAAGCTTTTCAGGGTCAGGAAGAACTGATTTTAATTAATAGCGCCTACAGTTTCCATATCAAGATTAGCTTCGATAGGGCCGGCCCTGTGGCATAGTGGTTAAGTGCATGCACTCTGCTGCTGGCAGCCCGGGTTCGGATCCTGGGTGTGCACTGACCATGCTATGGCGGCATCCCATATAAAGTGGAGGAAGATGGGCACTAGATGTTAGCCCAGGGCCAGTCTTCCTCAGCAAAAAGAGGAGGATTGGCATGGATGTTAGCTCAGGGCCAATCTTCCTCACAAAAAAAAAAAAAAAAAAAGATTAGCTTCGACACTGTTTCCAGTTCCCAGCCCCCAGACCCTAGTGTGGCCTGGTCCCCTTTGGTCAGTGACCACACCTCAGGTAGAGCACCGTCGGTGACCCCTAGGACCTAGCACGAGCCCAGCACTGGCTTCTCCCAGGAGAGCGACAGAGCCAGTGCAGAGGGACACAAAGGGAGCCTTCAGTCTCTCTTGCTCCTCCCACCCCCTGCCAACAGGGGAAACAAGGCACCCGGGCTCCGTGGGGAGAAGGCAGAGGAGAGCAGCAGGTGCCACACTTGAGACAATGAGCTTTACATTTTCAGAGCCAGCTCGTTCCAGTCAAAACATCCAACCCAAAGGCAAGTGGTGGCCCGCTGAGAAATAAATCCGGACAGGAGCAATCAGAGAACCAGGTAACACCGAAGTGCAAGGCTACAAGAGGGCAGGGAGCGCCGCCCTCGACCCACCCCAGGCCGTGTGGCCAGAAGAGTGCAGCCTTCCTTGGGGGCTGGATCACTCAACGCCCCCTCCCTCCTTTCACTCCAGGCAGCGACAGGGACTGAGGGACTCACATCACACGCTTTCCTCTCTGAATCTGTCTGCTGCCACCAACCCCTTGAAAAAAATAAAGAAACACTTCGTCTAATTCAGCTAGGAAGTTTCAAACAACTGGTTGCTATTTTTTTAATAACTCTGTTATTCAACAACAATTCATTTGTTTTTAGGGTTTTTTTCATACTTATTTGTCTGTATGTACTTTGCTTCTATATCTTTATTTTCCACAGGGCTTGGGTTTGGTTTTGCTTGTTTTTAACGTATTCTCTCACTTGTGGATATTCTGTGACTCTCATACGGAAGGCCAGAATTTCTAAAGATGAACACCTAACGCAACAGACCCATCCTTTGGCTTTGGCATCCTCAGAGCCAAAGAGAGCTGTCTGGGGCTTCTGTAAGAAGTGAGGATAGTAACAAACAACAGCAAATGTCTAGGATGGGAAGGGTTTCACCTGGGTTCCGCAAACCAGTTTACTCGCGGAGCCCTGGCAACCCATTGGAAAGGGAATTCAGATACAAGGACCTGACGGCCAAAGAGCACCACAAGAGGGGACCCTGCGAGTTAGGTGAAGCGTGCGATGCTGACTGTGGGCTCCATGCGGCGCTCCCACACAAATTCTTTGTGGCTGGAACCAAAATGCCCATGCCCAGATTCTTTTCCGGAAATTACAGTGGTCTTCTGGTCTTTTCACTCCTGTCACCACACACACACACACACAAGCCCTTCCTCTGAATTCTCCGTGGCTTCACAAGCCCCTGAAAACCTCCATCCCTTTGCAATCTTGTGAAATGGTACCCCTACTTCTCACATCCCCTCACCCCACTGGTGTCACTGTGGGTGACCATCACTAAGTGGCACTGACCCACACAGAACCCTGATCCCTTACCCTTACCCCTTAAGCACAGGGTCTAATATGTGTCTGGGGATGGGAATTCCTTGTCCCAGGAGAACTTGACTTTGCACCTAACCCATATGCAGACCAGCGTCTCCTCACTGACGTATCAGTACACTCTGCAGCAAGAGCTGCTGTTCTTAAAATTCATGTCTTCTATTAGGATTTAAAATATACTGAAAGAATTAGCAGTCAAGAAAAAAAACAGAGGAATGAAGTCACTGAAGAGAACAGAGCTAGAAGGATCCTCCCTGGGTTGTTAAATCAAGCCCTCCCTGTGCAGAAAATCAGGAAACCTGAATGAGCACATGCCATTTGTTTGGCCTGGACGGTCCCTCTCTCCAATCTATGACCTGACTACCTTCTCTTCAACTCTCAAAACTCATTGCTGGGGTCCTCTGCTCTGCAAAACTCCTCCAGTCCAGCTTAGGTGCCTTCCTACGTGTGTGCACAGCCCGCATACCTTTTTTAGATGAGCACACAGCATTTTCTATTGAGATGTCCGAGTACACTCAAAGCAGAGACCGCCTCTTCTTCCCCAGTATCCCCAATGCCTCCCACAGTGCCTGGCACACAGCAGATGCTGGATGAATGCTTATTGAATAAAAGACTGAATCATCACCAGTGATCTCCCACCCTCAACATCTTACTTTTCTCTTGCCCTCCTCTTTCTCTATATGTGAACTGAAGTCCTCGATCCTGACTGCACATAAGAGCCACTTGGGAAGCTTTCAAAAAATATCTTTGCCCGACCTGATACCCAGAAATTCTGGCTCAGTTGACCTGCGGGGGATCCTGGGCAAAGGTGTTTTCAAAAAGGAATCCCACTGTGAAGCCTGAGTGGAGAGCCACTGTGTAACTCTCTTCTGTCCTTCTGGTCTCTCTCTTAGGTATCCTCAAAATCCGTTCTTTCTTTTTGTTTTTTAACTTATTTTCATGTTCAGTGACCCCCGCAGACATTCCTTTAATATATAAACTGCCCATGAAACATAAAGGGATACACATTGTGGGGGGCACTATTCTGCCATGGATTCACTTGACTTCCTTTCACGTGTGTCTTGAACACGAGGAAGCAGCAGCAAGATCTGCAATTCATCAGGTTTGCTCAGAGTGGGGGCGCTGTACCGAAAGCTGTCTTACCCAGAAGAATGAGCATAACACCAGCCAGCTGGGCCCGCCTGTACTTGGCCACGCCAGGCTCGTGTCCCATCCGGATGCAGGGGAGAACCGTCACCAGCAGGAGAATGGCCGGCAGACCCAGGACCGAGGCTGCAATCATCAGGGCCCGGCAAGCCTGCACATAGCCTGGAAACGAGAGAGGAGAGGGGGTGGGTTAGGCCCTGGGTCCCCTCGGATCCTGTCCCCCGAGAATTCAGCACCATCTACCTTCCTCCCTCTTGCCTCATCCCAGGACTTAAAGTGTATTAAATGCTGTCCGGGATCACTTCACATGTCCAACTTTTAAAGTGACGCAGCGACAAAAAAAGGAGGTTCAGGGCTGGAGAGACTGAATGGGGATCCCTGGTTTAAACCACTGGTCCAAGCTTCCAGGATGAAGGGGCCAAGAGCCCATCACGTTATTACATCACCTTGTGAAAGTTCAGATTAAAACTCAAATCTTTCAAGGAGTCTTCTGTGATGGGCTGTGTTGGTTCCAGCCTGCTGTTGATATGCTCTACCTGTGTGATCTCGGGCAAGTTACTGAAGTGCTGTGTCTTGACACCTTCCTCATCTACAGAGTAAAAATAATAACAGTACCTACATCTCTCTAATAGAATTCAACTAAGATGAAATCAGTTAATTCACGCAGTGCTTAGAACAGTGTCTAGCACACGCTAAGTACTCCAAAAAGGTCAGCTATTGTTACTGGTGTTACTCTGTGTCACGCAGTACTTTTATCTCTAAGTGTACTCAGTGCTTTTGTCCCTAACCATGTGTTTGTCATTCACGTTGTGTGTAAATAGCATGCGGCCCTAACTAGGACTCAGGGTTCCTCTCTTGATATCTCCCCACAGGCTGCTGTGCTCGTGAACCCTGCCCCTATAGACGGTCAGGCTCCATCTCCTGCCTCACCCACAGCGCCCTGGGCATGCTTCCGCAATGGTCCGTTATTGCTTTAAAAGCATCTCTCCAGCCCTGAGGATTCTTGGAGGGCAGACACCTGCCTCTGTCTTCATGGAGCTAACACAGTGCCCACAACAGATGATGTAAACATACAATTACGAATGAAGGAATGAGTGAGTTGAATAACAAGAGTGGAGCAAAACTACCTGAACTATATGTTGTCAAATAAAATGCCAGGGAACAACTTTATTAAGAAACAGATTACAATATGTGCAATATTTACATAAAATAAATGTGACAAGATACTGGATACTGGATATACTACATAAAATAAATCTGACAAGATACAAGAATACGATAGACTTAAATGTATTGTTTCTCATTAAAAAACTCTCCTTCCTCCAAAAAAAGGGGGCAGGGGGGCTGTATTTGTTGCTCTCCCTGTTTTGCTCAGAGGGAATTAGAGCTAGTGGCCTGGAGGAGGTAGAGTTCATGGCCAAGCCAAAAACGGGCCCCAACTTCTGCCTCACATGCCAGGACCCTCACACCAAATCTGGCCAGCCTGCCTCATGCACCAAAACCCACCAGCAGCACTGTCTCTTAGCAGGATACATTCTGCAAGAATTCAGACTTCACAAGGGCACTCTTCCAACAACTGCCTGTCTCAGCTTCCTCAGAATTACAGGTAATCAATCAATCAAGTATCTATTGACTTGAAGACCCCCGGAGAGGAGCTACAGGAGGTCTGAGGCAGGACCTCTGAGCACAGCCCTGTGCCCCGGAGGCTTGTAGGTGAGCCAGGGCTGACATAAAGGAGACAGTCTCCTCAGCCTAGCAACTGAGGCTCTGAAATTCACAGCACAGGCTGTCCACGTGCCAGGTGCCAAGGCCATGTGTGAAAATCAAAACATGGAGACTCAGACCTATCCCTGTCCCCACCCAAAGTGTGAGGGAGGAGGACAGCAGGAAGGATTAGGCCTTCCCTAAAATGGACTCCATCTGTGGGAGGCTCTGTGTTCTCTGAAAAGAAACCACTTGGCACTGAGTGCTCAGTAAATTTAATTTCAGGGGAAAGAAGCAGAGAGTAACTTTATGCTTCAGTCAAAGATTCCTACAGATACCACGCCCAGCTTTTAATAAAAAAATTATAGCTAGCATTTAGAAAGCATCTACTACATCAAAGGAGGATTACATTTCTCATCTCATTTAATCCCCAAAACAACTCTGAAAGATAGGTGGTTGTTTGATTTTAATTTTTAAAAGAAGACAACTGAGGTTCATAACTTGTTCCAAATGACCCAGATTGTAAGCACTGGACCCAGGGTCTGACCCAGGTCTACTAACAACAGCATTAATGGAAGGTGGGTCCAAATCTGGGTCACCCCGACCTCTGTCACTCTGAAAGTCCAAAATGGAGAAAAGGATTGTGAACCGCAGGACTGGCATGCATTGTGCTCACCTGCGGTGGGCCAGTGGCAATGCGGGGTCCCTGGGAAGATGCAAAGAGAGTAGGACGCCATCTATATCTCTGAGGAATTTAAAATGTGGTAGAAGAACTCGACTCACAAACAATGAACAAAAAATCAAAATGTGCCCTGATGGGGATAAGAGTCAAATACCAGGACAGCAAGGAGGAAGGGGGAATTGATTCCAACTACAAGGCCTGGGAGACAGGAGGCACTCGAGGTGGGGGGGGGGGGGCTTACAGGGGGAGCAGAGTCTCCGGGAAGCGAAAGGTTCATCCGGGAGAAGGCACCAAGCCAAAGGCTCCTAGACTGGCGCCTCAGGCAGAGTTACTCCGCTTGTTCGGAAACCGGAATAGGCCTTTAAACGCGCACCATCCTCAAAGGCTAGCGGGACAGGAGGCAATCGCGTACAGGCCACGGCCGGGACAAACCCCACCTGGCAGGACAGATTCCCAGCAGAAAGCCCCAAGGGGCGCCCGCCGCCTCGCCAATCACCCAACTGACTCAAGGTTTAAATGTGAATTGAAACCGTTGCCCAGAATTGTTCAACGGGGCAGCAAGGGAAGATGGGGCCCCCGGCCGGCGTCGGCCTCGGGGGAGGGGTGGGGGGAGTCCTTCCCTCCTCCCCCCACCCGGAGACGCAGCTGGAGGGGAGGGGGCGGCCGCGGAGGCGCGTCTTCTCCCAGGGAGAGTCGGCCCTCCGAGGGGCGCCCGCTTTTCCCCATCCCACCGAGCGGTGCGGAGGCGGGGGGGTCAAGGCAGGCCCGCGGACCGATGCCCCCACTGCGGGGACAAGGGGTGGGGGAAACAAGATAGGCCCCGGGCCCTGCGGGAACAGACCCGGCGGAGCTAGAAGAACCCTAACTTGGCCAGGACGCCTCGTCCGTCCCAGGAGGACGGGGAAACAGCCTTTTTCGGAGCGCTGGGATGCTTGTGTTTCTTTCTGTCTTCCTCTCCTCTGCAGGGGGAGGCCGGGGCCAGGGAATAAAATACTTCTGGCCAACCTATGGCGGGAGCATGGGACAGGTGGGGCGACGGTAATTGGACGACATGGACTGAGTTCCGACTATGTGTCTATGTCTTGGTTCATTAACTTCTCAGGATGACTCGGCCAGTGGCCACCACTATCATCCCAAATTCCAGATAAGAAAACTGAGGCTGAGAGAGGTTAGATTCGGAGCTAATTCCTCTACAAAATGTGCCTAAATGACTTCCAGCCCCCAATATGTTTCTGTGGACGTCCTCTAATGCCCCCCGCCCCGGTCTGCCCCGAGGGTAAGGGTTTAGGACAGCCACTTGCAAGGCGGGGGTCCTTACCCGGCAGGATGAGGATGTCCACCAGGGGCTTGCAGTGGTACAGCCCGGTGGCCATGACGCAGTCGGCCCACAGCCCCTTGGAGCCCAGTTCGTCCAGCTTGCGGCAGGTGGGGATGGTGTAGCCGCAGGTCACCACCCAGTCATTGGTGGACGTGGTGACAATGATACCGATCCAACCCACGAAGCTCGTGACGAAGCCCACTACCTGCAGGCACGTGGCCACCATCATGGCCACGCCGGCGCCCCTGCGCTTCGCCCCTCACAAGCTGTATCCGCGCCCCGGGCTGGACTGAGCCTGCCCCGGTCCTCGCCCTCCCGCGCTCGCGAGCCTCTGGCCGGAGACGGCCCGATGCGGGATGCTCGCAGCGGCGACAGGCCACAGGAGGCTGCGGGCGCAGCTCCGACGGCCCGGCGGGCGCACGGCGGGGACAGCAGCTCAGCTGGGCAGCGCGCCCCCGCCCCCCTCTTTAAACCCCGCAGCCCCCGCCGGCGAGCGCCAATCGGCCACGGCCCTGGGTCGAGCCGGCCAATCGCAGGGCCGGGTCCGGAGGGGGTGACGAGGGGAGGGGAGCGATCCTGCTGCCCGGCGCGCCCCGTCGCGCGGTCGGTGTTGGAAGTAAAATAGTTCGATCCGGTCCAAGAAGTGGAGACGACAGGAGGGCCCGCGTCAGGCGCGTTCTATGTTGCTGCGAATTCTCTCTCTCCTTCCTGCCCCTCTCTCATCTCTGTCTCTCGTCTTCGCTTTGCTCCATCCCTCCTCAACTTTTCCCCACTCGCTCCTTCTTCCAGGCCCGACAGCTGGACCGGGGTTCTCCCGAGGACACACAGTTCCTCCACGGCCCAGCATTGTAACTGATGAGCTGGGAATTGCCCTAAGGAATAGACGAAGCATTCAGCATACCACAGCTACAGGTAGAAAGAAAGTGATCCTTTCCTGTGGTCAAAATCATCAGAGGGGGCCATGGCTGTGATAATGGTGACAACAACAGCAACTCACACTTACCAGCTGTGTCGTGTACTATGTGCATACATTTATATTTATGTATTATCTCATTTAATTCTCATAACAACCCTTTGTGGTAGGGACAATTGTTTACACGTAAAAGCACAAAGCGGCAGCATGAGAGAAGTTAAGTTGCCTGAGTTCACACAGCTAGGAAGGGGTAGACTCCGTGGACCCATCTCACCCCGCTCCCCCCACCATTCCTGGGAAGCTGTCCTGATTATCACTTTCTGAAAATTCCTCAAGGGTTCAAGTGTCCCATTTTTGACACATTAAAAGCTAGGCTCAGGGCCGGCCCTGTGGCTTAGCGGTTAAGTGCGTGCGATCCGCTGCTGGCGGCCCGGGGTTCAGATCCCCGGCAGGCACGGACGCACCACTTCTCCGGCCATGCTGAGGCCGAGTCCCACATACAGCAACTAGAAGGATGTGCAACTATGACATACAACTATCTACTGGGGCTTTGGGGGAAAAAAATAAATAAATAAAATTATAAAAAAAGCTAGGCTGAGAGCTCCGGCTCATTGTAAATAAGTGAATATCTCTGCTCTCCTGAGAACACTCCCTCACCTAGAGTGAGTGGTCTGCAAGTGTAAGCTGTCATGGCCAACATCAACATTATTAAGCCACCTTCTCTCCCTGCATTCAAGGAAGACCCATTATGTGCACTTTTTTATCATGTAGAGAAGTCCTCCTTGGGCTCTATTTACATTAAATACTTTTAACTCCCTTTGATACATTTTGCTTATCTTATTATATCCCTCTACCAAGAATCATGAGATTTAAAGATGCGAAGGATTTCAGCAAGCACAGAACTTCCTACTCAACACTCTCAGTCTAAGATATGGATCATAAATCACAGGTACTAAGCTTTCCCATATCTATACTGGGTGTCAGGGCAAATCACCACATCTTCTAGGGAAGATGGGCCTCCAGAGACCCCAAAGGAATCAAGTGCACAAAGAGAAAGGGCTCCGTATAGATGACACAGTGTCAAGCACTAGAGCCACAGTAATCACCCAGGAGAGCACAGTGGTTAGGAAGGAGGGCCCGGCTGCCTGGCTTCATATCCTGGCTCCACCACTTACCAGCTGTGGGACCAAGTTACTTCACCTGTGTAGGCCTCAGCTTTCCTATTTGTAAAACAGAGATGAAAATAGTGCCTAAACCTCAGAGATTTCTTGATGATTATGTGACTTAACACACATATAGAGCTTAAAACAATGTCTAGTTCAAAGTAAGCACTCAATAAACCTGGGCTGCTATTATCATGATGATTCAAAACTCTTGCTTCTGCCCTCTTATGTATTCTCCTTGCATTCGTACAAGTTTGATCTGTGGAAACCACAGTATAAGACATATGTCCCTTTTTTTGTTTTGTTGTGTTTTGTTTTGTTGCCAAGGAAGATTCCCCTTGAGCTAACATCTGCTGCCAATCCTCTTTGTTCGCTTGAAGAAGATTAGCCCTGAGCTAACATCTGTGCCAATCTTCCTCTATTTTATTTTTTGTATGTGGGACACCACCACAGCATGGCTGGTGAGTGGAGTAGGTCCGGGCCTGGGATCCAAACCGGTGATCCTGGGCCACACTGAAGTGGGCCAGGCCCCCTATGTCCCTTTTTTGAGTAAGCCATTGTGTTTGGGGTCATTTCATCACTAGGGTCTATTGACCTGCATGTTTTCAGGTATTTCTTCATAACATAAAAAAAGAGAGAGAGAGAGAGCACTTTTGTTTTAAGTATGATGTATGATATAAAATATAAAATCCAAGCAACACCAAGTCATTGAAAAAACAGTTATGAAATCTGCACTCTTGTGACTCCACTAGCATTCGACATTCCAACGATAAAAATTTCAACCGCTCAGAATTCAGCAATGCCCACATCACCCACAGGTCACACACACAGAGGTATTTGGAAAGCCACATTTCAGAACTCAGGCACTAAATGGTAGAAAGAGTTGTCAAGTTGTTAAGAAGGAATCTCCTGAGTTCATATTCCAACTTCATCACTTGGGCTGTCCCTTAACTTATGTGACTCTCAGGGTCTTCATATATGAAGTAAGAATAGCAGAGGCCCTCCTAGGATTATTGTGAGGACTGAGTGAGATAACTGACACAAAGTGCATAGCACAGTGTCCAGCATGGATGGGCACTCATAAATGTTAGCTACTGTTAGTATTATTCACAGGCAATATAGTTCGATTGGAAATATGAGTTACCTTTGATAGAGACTGAAGCTGAAATAATTGGATTATCATTATCATTATCTATTAATGGAAGAGAAATCCTAAGATGAATGTCTAAACGATCACAGCACAGTTGTACAAAAGGCCACTTAAGGGAGGCCAGCAAAGTGTAACCCGTTTGAATGAATTAGCCATAAATAGAGAAAGTGTGTCCCTTTGGAAAGGAAGTAGGGCAGCCATGGAAGCACAGGGAACTGGGTGCCAAGAGGCACAGAGAGGCCATGAGCATCCTCTACTATCCACAAGAGATGGTGTAGTGGCCCACAGACTCCAAGGATGTGGTCCCTCTGTAGTGGAGAGGCCCCTCAAGCTGTCTTACCTGAGGAACTTTTCCTGAAATCATCCACACTCCTCTGTGCCTCTACTCACCAAGCCCTCCTTGTGATTAGAATCTGACTTCCCATGTAGTGTAACTTGATAATCTGACATGCCATGTCTACCACAGCACCAGGTACCCTTTTAGTTGTGAGAGTCAGTCTCTCAGGGTCCAGTCACCCCACATAAGTGTCAACAGTGGGTCTAATTACTTTTCTCCCAGGCAAAGGCCTTTCTAGTTACACTTCTCTCGGGAAATGTTGCCATGCCATCTCTTCACATTTCTACAGTATGTAACAGAACTAGTAAGGTATAGCTGAAATCTGATTCCAGGCTTTTTGACCCTAAGTCCAATATTCTTCCCATTATGAAAAATATAAGAAGAGTCTTCCCTATGGCTTGAGCATAAGTTCCTTAATCTTATTCTTATTAGAAAATATTTAAAGGGGAGAACTAGAGAGCCAGTCAATGCCCTAAACCCTAGATGTGTACTGAACAAAAGAAACAGCCTGGTTAACTGTTCTTCTACCATTTACACTAAAAAATAGTCAATCAAACTAATGGGTGATTCAGTTAGAGCGTTAAAGTGTATTGCAGTGGCAAATGTGTCTGCTGACAAGCAGCAAAAGCCCACCTTAAAAGCAAAGCTTGGGCCCAAGGAGTGGGCTCGCAGCGACTACTAGTGGTTGTCTTTTATCATTGCATGACTGGTAAAAAACGTGGTCTGTGTAACCCATGACCTGCAGAGAAACATGATTGACCAGAGCTTCCCACATTCCAAATGTGTGTTCATTAGACGCAGATGGAATGTACATTTCTCTGTGAAAGCTTTCCTCATATATTAAAAAAGATGCATTCTTTAGGAAACCAAACATGAAAACATAGGACATATATGAAATTACTTAGGTGAGATTATTCATTCAAAAATAAAGTACTTTTAATAATACCTTTTTAAAGGATAAATTCCTCTGGTGGATTTTACTATTTGGTAATACAAAAATTCCATATATACATACACTTTTAGAAACATTGTAGTACACAACTGTACACAAATTCATAGTGTAAACAAATGTATCAAACATAGACAAAAAAATGAAATGCCTTGTGAGTTTTGGGGTTTTGTCTATTTTGTTGATCACTGAAATCTGAGTGTGGCACAGTGCCTGGCACACATACAGGCACTTACATTTCTGTTTTATGAGGGCACTAATCCCATTCATGAAGGCTCCACCCTCATGATCTAATCACCTCGCAAAGGCCCCACTTCCAAGACCATCACGTTGGAGATTAAGTTTCAACAAATGCATTTGGGGAGGTGACACAAATATTCAGTTCATAGCAGATGGGAATGTGAAGACATGGTGCAGAAGCAATCAGAAGGTGAGGATTAGAACAGGTCTAGGGAGTGGGCAAGAGGAGAAGTGAAGTCACTCTGTGGTCTCAGCAGCCACCTGCTGCCCTTGGTAAAGCACAGCCTTCTGCAATAGAAGGGATGTGCGCTGCTCAGGCCTCAAGCAGGAAAATCTCTGATTACCTAGAGATACTGGCCTCAGTCAAGGCATCTCCATCAAGAGAAGAGAGCACCTTCACTTCCATCTAGACTTTCGAATTCAGCTACTAGGGAAAAAATTGCCTTTTCGGGGTCCCATTTCTTAGCCTTTATGGTGCAATGAAATACCATTCCTTCGGAAGCCATTTTATTCCCAATTTCCTCTCCTTCTGCTTGGAGATAAAGCAAAATAATGAAAAGTTTGTACCTGGAGTGTTAAGTTTAGTCCTTTCCAGAACATTTTCTCTCTTCTGCGTCCAACAGCCAATTCTAGGTATCTACTTCTCTACCAGAAGTTTCAGAATACATTGGATGATATCATGTCTAA